GGAAAGAGAAATTTGTTTGCAAATTACAGAAAAGTTTGTATGGTCTCAAGCAAGCGCTGCAGCAATGGTACAAAAAAATTTGACTCTTTCATGATGAATAATGATTTTTCTAAAACCACTTCAGATCATTGTGCGTTTGTGAAAAATTTGCCAAATGGCAAATTTATTATTCTTTTACTTTATGTTGATGACATGTTAATTGTGGGTCAAGATTCTACCATGATAAATAGGTTGAAATTGGAGTTGAGCAAGTCTTTTGCTATGAAATATTTGGGGCCGGCAAATCAAATTCTTGGTATAAAAATTGTTCCTGATCGCAAAGAGGGGCTGATTTGGTTGTCTCAAGAAAGCTACATTGAGAAAGTTCTTGATAGGTTTAACATGAATAAAGCAAAGCCGATTAGTTGTCCACTTGCAGGTCACTTCAAGCTTAGTTCGAATCAATGTCCGACAAGTGAGAAAGACAAGGAAGAGATGTTGAAAATTCTTTATGCTTCAGCAATTAGTTCTTTGATGTACGCCATGGTTTGTACAAGGCCGGATATTGCTCATGCCGTTGGTGTGGTGAGTCGGTTTTTCTCTAATCCGGGTAAAGAACATTGGGCAGCGGTAAAATAGATTCTAAGGTATCTTCGAAGGACTTCGAAGGTATGTTTATGTTTTGGGGATGGTAAGCCGATGCTTGATGGGTTCACAGATTCTGGCATGGCCGGTGATGTTGATTCTAGGAAATCTACTTCGGGGTATTTGATGACTTTTGCAGGGGGAGCTGTGGCATAGCAATCTAAATTACAAAAATGTGTTGCTATCTCAACTACTGAAGCTGAATTTATTGCCATTACAGAAGCTTGCAAAGAAAAGTTATGGTTGAAGAAATTTTTGCAAGAGTTGGATTTGAAGCAAGAAAAGTATGTGCTTTATTGTGATAGTCAAAGTGCTATTCACTTGATCACTTGAGTAAAAATTCTACTTTTCATTCGAGATCGAAACACATTGATGTGAGATACCACTGGATTCGTGATGTGTTAGATTCGAAATTATTACAACTCGAAAATGTTCACACAGACGATAATATTTCGGATATGTTGACAAAGACTTTGTTGCGGGACAAACATTTGAAGTGTCGAACTTTGGCGGATATGGTTGATGTCTCCACTTAAGTCGGTAGGGGGAGAATTGTTGGGATATACCTCCTTATTGGAGTATGGGACCCAATTGGTTTATTAAAAGAGTTTAATTTGGTTTGGTATTAGTTATAATATATTTTTATATATTATATCTAATTTTGTGGAAACCAAATTCAGTTTGAAACCCTATATATTGTTTATGTTTTTGCCCCGAGTGTGTGAAGAAAAACGGCAGTAACATGCACTTTTTGATTGGTGAGATAGTGCTTGGGTTAAAAAGTAATTCGGTGGAATCAAAAAGTTTGGGTCAGATCTGCTTCGTTTGGTTCAACTTTCGGTTCTGTTTTGGGTGCACTATTTTGGGTCTTCTACATTTCGTTTCGAAGATTTTAGTTCATCTATTTGATGAGGTCTTTCCTCTTGTTTATTTGTGATTATTGGAATTCACCTAAGGGTGATTTGTGAGACCATTCGTGTCTCGTTTGTAATCGTTTGGAAACTTATTTGGTTGATAGTGGAATCGGATTTCGATCCCGTGGACGTACCTCATATTGAGGGAACCATGTAAAATTCTTGTGTTGTTTTTTATTTAATTTTTTCGCATTAGTTTTTATTCCCATTGATTGATTTACTTGTGGGGAATCACATATTTTCCCTAACACAATGAAAACAAACAAAACCTATTTTCTCTCTTTTCTTTGTCCAAACTCAGCACCCAAAGATGAAGATGGGGGTAAACAGTGTCGAATTCGAGAAGGGTGAAGGAACCAAAACCAACGCGGATTTGGAAAGGAAAAGTGGTTGAGCAGAAAGAGATTTGTATAGAGTTGAGGATGGCCTAAATTTGCTTCCTTTCGTTGGTGACCAAGTGTTTTCTAGAGGCCGACCTAGTGGTGGTGGTGGTGTTGTTGCCACAGTGGTAGCTAGTGAGGTTGTCTTGGACTAACACGACTGCGGAGATTTGGCCTTGGAATTCCGCCTGTGGCGGAGACTTTGCGGAAGAAAAGATGAAGAAAAAGAAAAGGAGGGAAGAAAAACGAGACTGAGGGAAGCACAGATCTAATCTCAAATCCATAAGGAGAAGGTGGTCGCAACACTGCTGATGAGTGAAGGAAGTAGGCGGTGAATGCACATCTGATCTCAAATTCGTAGGGAAGAAAATAAAAATGAGAGAGGAAGAGAGAGAGAGGGTTTGAAGAAATGGTTTAGAGAGATAGGTTCCACATGTTGATATGCATAGGAATATGAATAGCTATTTTGATTATTTTGTACAAGACTGTCCTTATAGACATAATATTTTAGAGTATAGATTTTAGACCAACAAAATTCAAATTTAGATTTGTGGGCCAAGTGCCCATTTATTTTTATTGAATACATTCAATTTTAAATACTAAATTAAATTATCAAACGCCACCAACTTCCTTCCTTCCTCCTTCTCACCATGTTAGGTTAGATTTAGAATAATTCCCCACAATTATCATTGTGCTTCCCTAGGTTTGCAATTTAGTTCTTTTCCAATAATATTTAGAATAAATTACAAATACATTTCTTGAGATTTGATTAAAATACGAATTACTCCCTATAGTTTTGAAAATTACATTCCACCTCTTGAGGTTTCTAATTTCATAACAAATCGTCATTTTTATTAATAAATCATCAAGTCAATTAACAGTTATTAATGATGTTAAAAATATATTTCAATTAATAATTTAAATAATTTTATTATTTTATAGGAGAGCAATTATGAATTTTATTTTTATAGTTAATTTAAATAAAAAATAATGATAGGGGGTATTTGTAATTTTTCAAATCACAGAAATAATCTGTATTTTAAGCAAATCTCAAGAAATATATTTATAATTTATCTTAATATTTAACTCCATCATACTAATAATTTACTTATTTAAATCACAAAATCTTCAACCTTATATTGATCATTCACATGTGGCACTACAAATTCAAATACTGTTTAACTATGACTACGATTAATATTTACTCATTTATTATTATTGGTGGCCGAGTTGTTATGATGTGAATAAAATCATTTACACTTACAAATTCCATATAGATGTAAATAAAATAGTCAAATGGAAAAACTTGAAAAATGTACCTTCACTAGGTATGATTGTCCAATTATTGAGATTATTGGCCGCATGTAAGAACTAAAGTTAAAATTTAAAGGCTTTAAAAATGGAACACCAATGAATATGAAAGGATGAAACATCAGAGAAAATGACAAACGATTTAAAATATCCAAAAAAAAGACGAATAAGATAACAAGGTCACTCACAGAATGTGACAATTAGGTTGGAAAGCTCTTAGAAACAAGAATGTATGAACAAAGTTCAAAATTGACGACAATTAAGTTGGAAAGCCCCTAGAAATCCGCTAGAGAAGACCATTGAATATATTTTTTCCCCCTCAATCTCTGCATTTTTGATTGATTTAAAAAGAATTTCTCTCAATTTCTTTCCATCTCCTTTTTGCAATCCAAATAGATGATTAGGACTATAAAAAAAATAAAAAATTATTTTTTTCTTTCTTTCTTCTTTTTTTTTTTTTTTTTTTTCAAATCACTCAATCCAAACATGCTGTAAATTTTGCATCTTAGTTGTAAAAAGTTTTTAGAAGTGACCGTTGGTTCAATGGTAAAATATTAGTAACCTAATAACTTTGAAGTTATGGGTTCAAGTCTCGGGTAATCACTTTGTGTGCTATGTCAAAGGTTAGGTATATACCTAATTTTTCCTCCCATCACTGTGTGCACTATGCCAAAAATTAGGTGTATACTCAATTTTTTTCCTCCTAAATACATATTAATGTGTACTAATTGACTTTATTTTTTATTTTTTATTTTTTTAAGTTCTGAAAAGTTTTTCTCTTCATTATTTGGTTGTATTTGCATAACTTATTTTGACAAAAGTAAATACCAAAAAAATATTTTTGAAATGAATTCCATTTATTTTCAGCAAACAAGTTTTTGAAAATTTTTTAGAAAACAAAACTCAGCCATTCTTGGATAGATTACAAACACATCCCCTCAGATTTTCTTAACATACATATTGCCCCATGTAATTCTAAAAACTATATTTCACCCCTTCAACTTTCTAATCAAATAACAAATGAACCCTTTAATTAATAAATTATTAAGTCAATTAACACTTTTTATTGTTGTTAGACATATATTTCAATTAGTAATTTAAATAATTTTATTATTGTGTAGGAGAGTAATTAAGAATTTTTTTTTATTAATTCTACTAAATAAAAAAAATTTGACAATAGGATATTTGTAATAATTTCCAAATAATTCGCATTTTAAGCAAACTTCAAGAGATGTATTTGTAATTTACTCAACATCCTTTATATTTTTGTATCTCTAATATAATTTTGTTTAACACCATAAAAATAACAATAATATTTTGTTGTGTGACTTGGACAGTTGGCAATTGCAGGTATGTTTGATTGACAGAATTAGAGTATGAGATTGAAATTATTAATCATGGGCCCAATAATCCTGTGTTCATTTTAAAATTTTGTTTCAGGATTATTAATCCAATAGATAATTAATCCAATAAATTTGTAAGATTATTAATAATGGGGTAGGGATAGGATTATATATCCTGAGTTGAAAAATAAAATAAAAAGACTCTTTTACCTTCATAAGTTTTCTTATCAAATGCAAATCAAACAATAGATAAGGGAATAAGTTATTCTACTAATTCAATTAGATAGTGAATACCACACTAATTTGATGGGATTATTAATACCTTCACTATTAGTCTTATAAATCAAACATGACATTTGATAAAAAAAATAAAAATATATATATATGTTGATTATTCCAAAATTCAAAATGGAAGGACCATGGAAGAATCCGCTGAGGTTCTGGGATATGGAACAGTTTAATTCGATTATTATAAGTAAAAGATCAGAAGTGCACAGAAGTTCAGCAAGATTGTAATTGAGGCCCCCTAACCCAAGGCTTGTGAATTTTTTTAAACCCTAGAACTCAGTGGTTGAAGCATTGTCCAAAAATTAGAAGAAATCGAAGCCAGACACTTCGAATCCGAGGGAAGAAAGCAAGATTTGAGACCCAAGGTTAGGTCTTGATTTCATTAATTTTTATGCAATCAACAATAATTTTTGGTGCTTTTATAGTTTGGTTGAATACAATTAATCTGTATGTGACTTGTATATTTTAGATGATTATTCTTCTTTAATATGAACTGTTTAGGAATATAGGAGAGAAGGGAAAAGAAAATGTTGTATTTTTCTCTACCTTTTATTTGATTAAGCTTAAGGGTAAAAAAAACATTGAAAAGTAAATATATTATTTCATTTCTCTTTTATCTTGTATAAATACACCACAGCATTAATTTTTTTCTTTAATATTCTTTTTTAATTATTCATGCATACTGTGTATAGGTATATAAAGTCAAATATAAATGTTTTGTAATAAATAATTTTATGTTAAATAAAAAATTAAATATAAATTAATATTAAGACATCAATAAAATAGATAAAAAATATAAATAAAAATTAATTTAATCTGTAAGACACACATAATTAAATACATTCTGTCTTATTTATTTATTTATTTGTATATTGAGATAATTTTTTTAATAATTGATGAAAAATATATATAAAATAAGTATTTCTCAAATAGAATTTATATAAAATTGGTTATTATAATTCAAATTGAATTTGTATAAAACTTTATATGTGGCTTTTTTAGAATGTGCTACCTACTTTTAATAATATATATATTTGATATGATGATGATTACCACCCATTTTATTTATTTATTTATTTATTTTTCCATCTTCCTTTCAATTTTTTATTCTACAGACGCATATGTGTAGCCTTCTGGTAGATCTATACATGTGTCTATAATCTTCCACTATTTGCAAATATGAAAACATAGAAGTCTAATATACACTCCCATTCTTGTCTCTCTTCCAGAGCTTATGAATTTTTCTGAATCCTAGAACCTGGTGGTTGAAGTGTTGACCCAGAATTAGCAGATACCGAAGCTAAACACTTTGAATCCGAGGGAAGAAGGACTTACAAGTGCTCTAGGGGAGATTTGAGACCCAAGGTTAGGTCCTGACTTCCATTATTTTTATGCCATTAATAATGCTTCTTCTTTTTTTTTTTTTTTTTGAGTGTTTTTATGTGATATCTTATAATTTCAATTATTTTAATTTTGATTTTGAATTTATCATTTTGTCTTAACAACACGTGTTATGTTTTTATAGACAAAATTAAAAACATGTTCAACCTAGTAAGTTAAGTCCGCTAATCAATTTCTTTCAAACACCTTAACATGATCAATTAGACTAAAGTAAGAATCAAAATTAAAATGATAAAAACTATTAGAAATTGGGCGCCCATGTGGCATGACCCTTTAAATCTTTTGAACTGGAACCTTTTAAACCTTATCCATGTAAGTTTGAGTTTGAATTTGAATTCAAAAATTATTTGGATAATCATTCAGGATATCTATATCTATTATATCAATAGATATGGATAGATGGATAGATAGATATTAGTTGATATATATTTAATAATATACATTTGATATGATGGGAAATACGTATATCAGATACCTTATGTGATTTTTACCCATAACCTTTTTTCCCAGACTCTCTCTCTAACTCTCTCCCATATGAGAATGATCTAGCTTCTGCACTGTGACTTGTGTGGGTGATACTTATTTTGTAGTATCACTCCATTGCTGGGTTGGTTGTTCACATCCTGGAAGCAAGTAATTTACCCACGAGATTCTTCGTTTCAGGCTCTACTAAAAGGTATGACTATGAAATTTTTTTTCCCTCTGCGTCATAATACTTTATAATTTACATTGGTATCAGAGCCAATATGGATATTTTCGTGTTTATTTTTATGCATTAAAATGTGTGTATTTTTATATAAATATATATACATGATATATGCATGAATATCAATAAAGGAGGAAGATGTCCACTCTCATTAGATTAAGAGCATAAAATACCTCATTTTTATGTTCATTAAATGTCATTTTTAATGCCATAAATGTATTTATTTTGGAAAATAGAGTCCGGTAGTACTGAAATTGGACCAAAACACACCCTGGAAGGCGGAGCGTGGGCCTCATGCACCACCTGACACCGTGAGCGGCTTTCACGCACTTCCACACGCCATCACGTGCGCGTCAGCGGCGTTGTCCACGCATGCGCACCGTGCGCTGAGTCGCGTGCTAAGCCGGGCACTGAGCCGCGTGCTAAGCCGCCTCTAAGCCACGTGCTGAGCCGTCTCTAAGCCGCACGCTGAGCCACGCCGTTTTTTCTACGCCGGCTTGGCTGCTGATGTTAAGGGTCTGTTTGTTTTGTTTTAAATTCTGAATCGCGTTAAATGGTCATAATTAATTCGTTATAGCTTTGTTTTAAGCATGGTTGGTACCGTTAGACTCAGAATTAAATTTCTATCTTTTGTAAAATTTTCAAAATTTTATGAAAATAAAAAAAAAATTTCCTGAAATAATAATTCATTATTTCTGCTTTAAAATGCATCTGGTGTTGCATGATTAAGTTTCTGGGTCTGAATTTTTTATTGTAGACTATTGTTGTAGTTTACTATTTACTGGTATAGTTATTGCATTTTACCTGATTCTGGAATATTTATTTCTAATTTTATGTGTGTTTATTAGTTATTTAAAATTCTAGAAAATACCAAAAAATTTCAAAAATTTTCAGAAGTGATATAATTTCTGTTATGACATAATTTGAATATTAAATATAGCATATTGTTGTTTTTTGCCTAGAGTTTCTAATATGTTGTAATTAGAATAGCATGATTAATTGTTATTTGTTTAAATTCCATTATTAATTGTGACATAACATGAGTTGGTTGTTAATCTACATTATGATGCTATTGTATGGAATTAAATTTTTTTATCATGCTTTTAGACATGCCATAGTCAGTGGGAGGTTATTCGGTTGAGAGAAATTTTTGTAGATTAACTCCCGAAAACTAATATTTTGTGCATAAATTAAATTAAATTTTGGATAATTGTCACCTATGGCACAAAAGATGATTACGAGCATAGCGGATTTTCGATCTTGTGACTTGTGTAATATTGTCACTATTTAATTTAGATTTTTGTGGCAAAATTATATTATGCTAATCAAATTAATCCCAATGCAAATTTCTCTCTAAATTGACTTAGCTTATGGAAGTTAATTGGTTGACGTAGACTTAGTAGAGATGTTCAAATGTGAACAACGTAATCCTATTCTTTAGATGAGCAAAAGTCTTGGAGACTTTAGGTCAGACCTTAATTGAGACAAACTAAGGAAACATGACTCAAAGTCGTCATGGTTTTGTTGCCTTGTTTGGCACAATAAAAACTAATGTGTGCGCTATGATTAGTGGCACGCTACGTAGTTTTGGTTGGCGAGTTTTGGAGTTATGAAATTAGTAAGCCCTCAATAGATCTCTATATGATCTTGACTATTGAGCTGCGCAGATTGACTTTGTAATTTGACTTGTAATGATGTTGCATCATTGGGTGAAGTAACATTCAAGAGTCACGTCATCCAAGAAATGCGCGTTTTAATGAGTTAGTCACTAAATGTAAGACGAGTAGCCAGTATGAGCAGTGTTTTGCTCTTTACCCAACTATTTGGAGTGGATGGAACAAAATTTCACGCACTATAATAGTATGCATTAAAGTATCACTTGAAGTTAAAAGATTAGCGCTTAGTAACAGCAAAATCTATTAACACTAAGCAAAAAGATTAGTGCCAAGTGGCTGCAATATCTATTAGCATTGCCAACTTGTCTAAATCTGGACACTTACTGTTTCCACACTTGAGTGTGAGACATGTTTAGGTGCTTCTTTGTATGATTCCTTAGCTAGGCTAACGTTTTTTTTTAATAACGTTTACCACTAAGCACAACCATTGCAGCATAGTAATGAAAAGGTCAAGGCCGACAAGGTTGTTATGACTCTAAGAATTTGACGCATCGCTTGTGAGAGCATTATGTTGAATAAGACTCTTTAGCCTAATTCGCGCTTAAGTTACTTCAGGACCTGTCATAGATTGATAGCTTATTCTCTCCTTCTTGTGAATAGTAGAATTAATTGCAAGTAACTATGAAGTGAGAAATAAAAATGGAAAAAGGAGTATCATCATTTTTCAACTAGATGCAGTAAAGTGTATGGAGAATAAAATTGACTTGAAGGTGCAGGGCATTAGCACTTACTAGTTAAATTTGTGACTTAGGCGCACTTGATATCTCCATGACATCCTTTTATGATCTAGTGAATATGAATTAATCGTGAGTCATTACCTAGTAGGACCTAAACCTTTAAAACTTGTCTTCGAGAACTCACACATTAAGATAATTGGAATTAGTTTATGACATTGGTCATGAACCGGTGGCATATTATACTTAATCACATTAATGAGATGATGACACGATGGTTTAAGTAGGCTTTCTCGGGCCCACTCGCTTATGACATCCTGCTCTCATGTGAATGTGTAACTTTGTTCGCAATAGGTGTGCACAAGTAAGTAGGAAAGCCGTAGAAGGTCATTTGTTTTGGCGCATTTAGTCCACTATGATATTTGTGACTAGATATGTGTAAGGGTATGATAGCTAAGTCTCAATCTTGACGCATTTATAGATTACGATACACATCTGAGTCAAGACTATTTAATCTCCCATAAGTCAAAAGTTTTGAGATGATTTTTGACATTGGACATATGAGGTCGAGATCAATTAGATAAGAGCTTTTGTGCTTTTAGTTTTGATCAAGGTGGCGAGTATCTATTTGAGTTTTTTTTAGAAAGCTCTATGAAGACAAATGGATGCTTAGAAATTTGATTATTCCTAATACTCAACAACACAATGGTGTAGTAGAGATAAGGAATTAAGTATTGTTAATGTTAGGTAGATGATGGCGCAAAATGTTTTCCAATTGGGAATTACACTTTAGTTTGTTGCCTGTAGCCCTAACTAAATGCCTTCCATATCAGATTTTAAACTCCATTTGAGTAATAGGTTAGCGGACAGCCATCTATGGGCGATCTGTAACCGTTAAGCAGCTTATCTTTATTTTACTTCTCATAAGGTTACGAAGTTAAGACCTAGGGTTTTATGGCGCATTATTGTATGCTGTCATGTAAACCCTCCAGGTCATGTGCATATAGGGAAGCAGCTTTGTGGGAGTGTAACTAAATCAAATAAAGTTTTCTTAGTAAAGGTGACTAAATAGAGTTTTGGAACTCTACAAGATAGAGAATTCTAAGTATAGCGCTCTATGTAGCCTAGTTGAGAATGGAAAGAAATTTTCAATACCCTAGGGATAGTGGGAGCAATGTGCCTACTAATGGATTACTCCATTAGAGAAGAATACTCTACATTCTTAGTTGCGTGGTAGCGAATGTGAAAATTTTTCACGTCATCACTGGGTGATTGAGAAGGAAACATTCATGATTGCTCCGCAAGATGATAAAGAGCCTAGGATAATGCCAAAGGCTCTAGTCCCATGTTTTTAGAAAGTGGATCAATGTTGCGCAGTTGAAGACAAAGTCTTTGAGGATTAACCATTTCTATAATTTGGTTGACTTTCCATTAAGACGTGAAACTGTTCTAAAGTTATGCAAATTTTGGATAGTCATTGTTGAGGCATAAGGCTCGCTAGATACCGAAAAGTCGCACTATTGAGGAAGGTGTAGACCAAGAGAAGACTTTCTCCTAGGGAGTGAGGTTATTTTGACTTAAGCTATGATTAACGTAAGTTCGGAACATTGATTTGTGGACATTGTGACCCAACTTTCTCGTTAGAGAATTGGATAAGTAGATCCGTAGGGATTTACCTTCTGGATTTACCTTCTGCTTTTATGGTGAAAAGTTAGGAGCGCAAAAAGGTTGCTAAGTTCCAATAAATCTTTTACAGCCTAAAACAGTTATCCAAATAGTGGTTATTAGATTTCGTCAAGCCATGATAGGTCGACGATGATCGATAAAGACCACTGAGGCATGATCAATGGTCCAAAAGAAGTTTTTCCTTACTTAGTCATTATGAGCCAAGAATTTATAGGGTTGTCGCCACCTAGGGTGGGCAGTCCTCTATTTTAGATATGATGGACATGGGTGATGTAATTTATATGCTCGTATGTACGATCCTTAGGGATTGTTTTGGGAGAATTCATGTTTTGTCTTCGATGACTTACATAAAGAATATCTTAGAACGATTTTAGATGCAAAATTACAAACACATTGACTCACCTATTGGTAAAAGCCAAAGCCTTAGCTATTAAGTGAATCCTCGGATTGTCTTTGGGAGAAACAGATGACCTATATTCATTGATCTTTTCTTTGTTGTGGGAGCCTAAAGTACGCTATGTGGGCGTATTCAGCATAAAAAGTGTTATCTTTGGTAAATGGTCAACTGAGTTGTTTAGACATTGACCTTACTCATTAGACTGTAGATAGAATGCTTTACTAGTAGTATATTAATTTGCTCCTTGTAAGATTCAATGCGCTAGTTGGGCGCATCAAGAATGAACGCAAATTGGTCACCAAAAATATCTTTAGAGAGGTTATTGCGCAAGAGGTAGTGATCTTGAATCACCTCATGTGAGGTGTGCATGGAGGATTCCGTTGTATATGCTTATCGCAAGAGGTGCTGATAAGGCTTATGTTTGGAATCTAGAATTGCGCAAGCAGTGGTCATGTTTTTTAAATCGATCACTTATTTGTTATGAGATGATGTGATGTTGACACTATTATGGTTTTTGTCATAACGATTAGCAGATGATGATTTCAGCAGGCAAGATTGGCTCACTCACACGAGCAATCGCCTTTGGCGCTTGGGAGTAAGCAAGGATGAGACTAGTGGTTTATTTTTTATTTGGAGCCAAGAGAGGCTTAAATTATCCACTATGCATGTCGCCTTGGTTACAATCAAGATGAGGTCGTGTTAAGGACCAAACATGAATGTTAGTACCCACTTTCCATGTTGTGCCTGTTATGATTAGCCAGATGCAAGATCTCATTTGGCGCCTAGAAGGCGAGCAAATAGAGAATTCGGGTTAGGCGCTAGAAAGCGACTAGACTAAGATCTATACGGTGTATCGAGTATGACGTCACTCTTTTGGAAGAGTTACTCCACCGTAACATGTATTCATACTACATGTGTTTGGCAACCGAGTAATGAGGTGAGAAAATGGATCCCTATTTCCTTACCGTGTGAGTCTTACGTGTCATTATTGATATGACTTTCATTTATGTACCCATTTGTGAATTTTGACTATGTCATAAGGTAAGGGGTTGATGTTCTGCTACTTTGGTATGTTGCCTGCGGTCATATATGATTCGGCCTTAAGGGACATCACTGGGAAAGCAGTCAATCCTAAACTAAATGGCATGAGGGCAAATGGAAGATTATCTAGTATTACACCACTATTGTATATTCACTGCCGGCAACTCACATCGCTTTGTATGAGACGCAGATTGAGTGTGAATATATTGCAAGAATTGAGAGGGTCGAACATGCTCTTTTTTTGAGGGATTAGAGATATTTTTTGGACCGGTGTAATTAGATGGGTCTAGGGTATATGAGACACTATTTCTGTTCTTTTTGGATTGATGTCTTTATGCTGACTCATTTTGAGTTTTCTAGTATAGAGCTCCCATATGCAGGTGTTCTCAGTAGTCACATGGTGCATTGGCTAGTATGAGATTGTTCATTTTTGGGGAGATTGAGATAGAGATAGAGATGTGGCAGTATCATGCCAACTCATGTGTGAGTGGGAGATGTTAGAAATTGGGCGCCCATGTGACATAACCCTTTGAACCATTTGAACTTGAACCTTTTCAACCTTATCTATGTAAGTTTGAATTTAAATTCAAAACTTATTTGGATAATCATTCAGGATATCTATATCTATCATATCAATAGCTATGGATAGATGGATAGATAGATATTGGTTGATATATATTTAATAATATATATTTGATATGATGGGAGATACGTATATCAGATATGTTATGTGGTTTTTACCCATAACCTTTTTTTCTAGACTCTCTCTTTAACTCTCTTTTACATGAGAACGATCCAGCTTCTGCACTGTGACTTGTGTGGGTGATACTCATTTTGTAGTATCACTCCGCTGCTGGGTTGGTTGTTCACATCCTGGAAGCACGTGATTTACCCACAAGATTTTTCGCTGCAGGCTTTACTAAAAGGTATGACTATGAAATTTTTTTTCCCGCCGCGTCATAATACTTTATGATATACATTAAAATGACACAAAAATAAAATTCAAGACTATTGATATAATTTGTCTTATTTCATTCATAATTTTTTTATTTTTTATTTTCTTTTCAAATTGAATTAAAATTGTAAAATAAAGCCTTGTGTATTATTTTTTCAAAGGGATTATAAAAGGACATTCGGGTGATAAATTTATTTATTTTTTTTTCCAAAGATCTAAAGGCTAAAACATTAGGTTCATAAAGATATATATATATATATATATATATGGGGTATGTTTAGTTTGTGTTTGTAGAATAATTTTTGAGATAAAAAATACGAAAATTTGTGTAATTTGCTTTTTTTAAGAAATGATTTTAAAAAATTATTTTAAAAAGAAAGTTTTAAAAAATGTGATTGATTTGATGTATATGAGAGAGAGAGTGATTTAGAATTTAGGTAAACAAACAAAATTTTAAATTTTGTTTAATTTAATTACTATTAAAAATTTGTTTGTAGAGAATTTTTCTCAAAATTGTTTTTAAAAAACAAACCAAAAAAGGCTTCAAACAACACCCCCCGCGGTTCTCTCTCTCTCTCTCTCTCATCTCTCTGTCACACACACACCGTTTCCCCGTCCCTCCTCCACCGCCGATCTCCTCCGTTTCCGCCGATCTCCTCGCCGAAACCTGCTGTGTCACCTCCTCCACTCCTCGCCGTCACCACAGCCTCCGTACCACCACTCAAACAACCACCGTCGATCGAATCAGCATATCGCCAAAGGCTTGTTCGCATCACCGTCGCAGCAGATCTCCTCGGCCGATCTCGCGAACGCCGTCGACACCATACCTTCCTCCATCTTCATTTTCATCATCTTCATCATCCTCGTTGGGATCCCCACTCTGCGTCACTGTTCAAATTTGGTAAAGGAGACGAGGCAGAGCTGGCTGTCTTACTCTGTCCTCTCTCTCTCTCTCTCTCACACCGAAAAGACGAAGACGATGACGGCGGCGCTGCCGAAGAGACGAAGATGACCAGAGTTGACAACGACGGCGCCTCCAGATGGAGGCTGATCGGGGGAAAGCGGCGGCACTGTGGTTTTTTTTTCCTCTGCCGAGTAGATCTAGGGTTGTGGATCTAAGGAAGGAGACGACGAGTGTTGTAGTGGTTACCTTGGTGTATTTCTTTTCTATTCTGAACCCTAACTCTCCAACCTTGTGTTAGGGTTTGAAGCTTGGGGAATTCGAATCCAATGTTATTGTTGATGGAGTCATGGTCATGTTCAGACAAGACCAACGGTGATGAGTTGATGGTGTGACTCATCGAAGTATCAAGCGACAGAGGTTGGGCGATGGAGTGGGCCCACCTTCTGAGTCTGAATGCACACCCCAACCTTGGTGTATTTCTTTTCTTTTCTGAACCAATCGAATACAGATCAATAATAGTGGCTCCTCTGTCTCTGGAATTTTTTTTTCTTTTATTGTTATTGTTGAGAAACTTATTGCAACATATAATAAAAAATTAAAAATTAAAAAAAAAAGATGATGAACCTGTGGTGCCATTGTTGGCATCAAGGTTGACGAATAGGTTGAGTTGTTGAACACATTGTTGGTGTATTTCTTACATCTTCAAATATATATATATGTATATTTTAGGGAGTTGCTGTTGATGGTGACAATGATGAAACAGATTGTTGTTTTTGAGGATGATGAGAATAAAGTTTTGAACAGATAAAGTATTTGAAGTGATAGATTTAAACAGATAAGTGAAAAAATTGAATAGATAATAAAATATGGATAGATATTTGAACAAATTGAGAGAAAAAATTTTGAGAAGGTAGACAAAAAATTTAAACATATAGATATAAATTTAAACATATAGTCAAAAAAAAGTTAATAGATAAATTAAGAGGTAAAATTAAAAACAAAATGTGTTTTTTATCAAATTATTTCACAAAAAGTAAACCTCTTACTAATAAAAAATATTCATTAGATCTATTGCCTTATACATTCCTTACATTAGATTTATTATCTATTTTCCATTATTATATTCTTTTAACCATGATAATAATATTTTTGTAGGTTCCTTAGAATCTAAAGCGCAACAAGGCCTAGTACCTTCAATTCACCCAAAAACAATCAGTATGCTCAATGGTGGAGGACGAGCAGGCAGTGGAAGTAGTAAGCAAGTACCTTTGTTGCTCTTAAAAACACCAAACAGTATTTTCAATTGTAAAGAAGAAGAAGATAATGAAAGTAGTAAGCAAGTACCTTCATTGCTCCTAAAAAATACAAACAGTATTTTCAATGGCAAAGGAGAAGAAGGCAGTGAACATAGGAAGCAAGTACCTTCATTGCTCCTAAAAAATACAAATAGTATGTTCAATGGCAAAAGAGAAACAAACAGTATGTTCAATGGCAAAGGAGAAGAAGGCAGTGGACATAGGAAACAAGTACCTTCATTGCTCCTAAAAAATACAAATAGTATGTTCAATGGCAAAGGAGAAACAAACAGTATGTTCAATGGCAAAGGAGAAGAAGGCAGTGGACATAGGAAGAAAGTACCTTCATTGCTCCTAAAAAATACAAATAGTATTTTTAATGGCAAATGAAAAGAAGGCAGTGGACATATGAAGCAAGTACCTTCAGTGCGCTCATTGCTCAGTGAAAATAGTACGCAAGTATCTTCATTGCACAATGGAAATAATAAGTAAGTGAAGTCCCTTCAGAAGAAAGGGCCAACCATGAGCACCTCGCAGAGTAAAAAAAAAAAATATATATATATATATATAGCATCCATCCTTGGCCCCTGTTTGCTGTATTTGCTTGAAAGAATAAGCCTATCATTGGCCTCTTGTTTGTTTCACAATTTTATTTTATTTTATTTTTTATTTTTATTATTATTTTTTTTGAATAAGCCTCTATCGTTGGCCATTTGACAAAAGTTGTTTTTATATTATTGGTATTATTATGTAATTGTATTATGTTTTTTTTCTTACTTCTGCTTGATATGTTGTTAATAGTATTCCTTATTGGTTATAATTGAGCGCTGCGTTTTCCTTTTTCTTTTTGAGTCATGATAGAGAAGTGATCTCTTTATTTTCTTAGAGGTGTTTGTTTGGAAGGATTAGAGGAGGGATTATAGACTCCATGGCCAATCCACTATGGAGTCTATTGTTTGATTAAGAATTTGTATGTCGGATTAGGAATTCCACCAACCTATAACCAAACAAACCAAACCAAGCCTTAAGTCCTATCAAATGGGGTCGGTTACATGAATCCTTCTTCTCTACGCGACCCTATTAAAGGCCATTTCATTAGTCAAATTAAGTAGATTCATATCTCTATTTACAACGTTAGCCCCTAAAACTTCCATCTGCCGTTACAGCATCGCATCTTTTCACTACTGCCTCTATTGGTCTTCGTTGAATATGACCAAACCATTTCAATCAATTCTCTCTCAACTTATCTTCTATCGATGCTACTCCTACCCATTCCCAAATACACTCATTCCTAATTCTGTTTTGTCTAGTCTTACCACACATCCACCTTAGCATCCTCATGTTAGTTACACTCATCTTATCTATATGTTGTTTCTTGATTGTCCAACACTCAATCCCATACAACATTGCTGGTCTAATAGCCGTTCTATGGATCTTACCTTTTAGTCTAGTGGGTATTCGTTTATCGCACAACACCCCAGATGTACTTCTCTACTTAAACCATCCCGCCTTAATCCTATGGGCAACATCCGCATCAATCTCCCCCGCTGTTGTGATAATCGACCCTAAATAACGAAAATGTTCACTCTTCGACAGTTCTTGGTTCTCAATCTTCACTTCTCCTCCACTTTCATTGTTATTGTTACTAAATTTACACTTCATGTAGTTTGTCTTAGTTCTGCTTATCCGGAATTCTTTAGATTGAAGAGCTTTTCTCTAAATCTTCAACTTTAGGTTAATTCATTCTCTAGTCTCATCCACTAGCACAATATCGTCTGCAAAAAGTATACACCATGGCACGTCATCCTGAATATTTCTCGTCAACTCATTCATAACAAAAGCAAAAAGATAAGGACTTAAGGTAGATCCTTGGTGTAACTCTACAGTGATAGAAATTTATTTGTCTTTCCAGCAGGCGATCTAATAGTGGTCACCACCCTTTCATACATGTCCCTAATCACATCAATGTAACCTTTTGTCACCCCTTTTTTCTCTAACGTCCACCATATTATATCCCAGGACACTCTATCATATGTTTTCTCAAGGTCGACAAACACCATATGAATCTCTCTTTTATTTTCTCTATACTTTTCTATTACTCTCCTCAAAAGATAGATCGCTTCCATTGTTGACCTACCAAGCATAAACCCAAATTGATTCTCTGACACCTCTATTATATCTCGCAATCGACGTTCCATCACTCTCTCTCACACTTTCGTTATATGACACATTAGCTTAATTTTTCTATAGTTGCAATTTTGGACATCACCTTTATTCTTATAGATTAGTACTAAAATACTCTTCCTCCACTCATTTGGTATGTTATCAACAAAATTTCGCTAAACAACCTAGTCAACCAAGCAATTCCCTTCCAAGCTTCAATAGGGATATCATCCGGTCCTAAAACCTTATTTGAGTTCATCTTCTTAAGTGCAATTTCCACTTCAAAGTTCCTAATCCTGCGATAGAACCTATAGTCTTAGTTTATCATATTACTGGCTATTTCTTCCCCTATTGACGTCTCTCTATGTTCCTCATTTAATAGTTTCTCAAAATAATTCTTCCATATTTTTCTTAATCTCTTCATCCTTCACCAATACCTTAGAATCCTCACTCTTTATGCACTTAACTTGATTAAAATCTCTTGTTTTCCTCTCTCGTATCTTAGCAAGTTTGTATACACTCTTCTCCCCCTCCTTACTATCTAGTCTAGTGTATAGGTCATCATAAGCTTTCAACTTTGCCTCTCTTACTACTTTCTTGACCTTTTTATTAGCCAATCTATAGCTCTTAACACTACGCCAAAATTGGGCTTTAACGGCGGTTTTTTTACCGCCGTTAAAGGCTGTAAAACCGCCGTTAAAGCCTTTAACGGCAGTATTAACGGCGGTTTCGTTACCGCTGTTTATGCCCATGTCGAAAAAAGTACAACCGTCATAAAAAGGTAAATTACTGTTGTTAAAAGTCGACCAAAAACGACGGTAATATAAGACCAAAAACGACGGTTCTTTACTGCCGTAAATAAGTTCAAATTTTTCAAAAAATAATTCTTTCTTCTTGCACTTCCCAAGTCTTGAACCCTCAACCTCTCATCCACCCACACCAACCACTCCACCACAGCTACTCTTCATGAAATATATTTCCTAAATAAATATTTAAACATTACTTTTACTTTATTGTAGATGGTCATGTTCAACCCTAGCCGCGCGTGGTCACCACTCACCGAAGCTCTGCCGGAGCTCGGCCGACAAAGACCGTCGTCATTAACGGCAGTAATGAGAGGGCTTTAGCGGCGGTTTCATTACCGCCGTTTAAAAATGGCTTTAGCGGCGGTTTTTTAACGGCGGTTTTATTACCGCCGTTAAAGGGTCATTACCGGCGGTTTTGTTAACAGCGGTAATATGGCGGTATTAACGGCGGTTTCGTTACCGCCGTTAATAGTATCTTTAAACGGCAGTAATGAAACCGCCGTTAAAAAAACCGCCGTTAATGCCTTGTTTTGGCGTAGTGTAAGGTTTTCCTTGGTTTTATCCTTCTGTCACTTTTTAAATCAATCTTTTTTTGCCTTAATTATCGCTTGAACCTCTTTCCTCCACCACCAAGTTTCCCTAGACAGCTGGGTCCCGTTCCTTTCGACTCTCCAAGCACTTCCTTTGAGATTCTCCTCATATAATTGGCCATTAAGTTCCATATAGTATTAGCATCATCTTCAAAGTCCCAAGTATGTTCCTTATCCATTCGATTCTTAAATATATCTAGTTTATCCTCTTTTAGGTCCTACTATCTCGTCCTACGATGCTCACCATTCTTCCTAGCTTGGTATTGCCTTCTAAAACATAAATCTAGTACCAAAATCTTATGTTAAGAGGCCAGACTCTCTCCAAGAATCACCTTACAATCATTGCATTTTAGGCGGTCCACTTTTCTTACTAAGAAGTAATCTATTTGGCTCTTAACTAACCCACTCTTAAAGCTTATAAAATATTTTCCCCTCTTCTTATACATAGTATTAACAATCACTAGGTCAGAAGCCATCGCAAAATCTAAGATACACTCTCCATCCTCATTTTTGTCACCAAAATCGAATCCACCATCCACCCTTTTATAGCCTAGTTTATCTATGCCTACATGGCCATTAAAATCTCCACCAATAACCAGGTTCTCTCCTACGGGTATCTCCTATAAGATCTCATCCATTTGCTCTCAAAAATCCCTCTTAGTCTAATCATCTAATCATACTTGAGAGGCATATGAGCTAACAACGTTCACTATATTCCCTCAAATAATTAGTTTAACTAGCATAATCCTATCCCCTTTCCTAGTGACCGCCACTACACTCTCCACAAAACCCTTGGCAATTATGATTCCTACCCCATTTCTACGTCTATCCTTACCATTATAATACAATTTAAAATCGGTATCTTCAATGTCCCTAAATTTCTCACCCGTCCACTTAATTTCTTGTACGCAAGCTATACAATTCTCCTCCTAATCATAACATCTACCAATTCCATTGTCTTACCAGTTAAGGCTCTACCAGCCTATGAATCGCAAATATATTGGACTATTGTGTCCTAGGAGATGTGGGATTGTTGTAAAATGACATATTTACTCCCCAAGTATTTGATTTTACTATGTATTGTATTTAGTAAAATAAAATAAAAAATCTCAATTAAAAAATAAAATAAAATAATTTAATTTAATTTTTATTAATGTTTATTTATTTAATTTTTTAAATAAATTTGTATAAATGTTTTATTTTAATTTTTTTTGATATTTTATTTAATTTTTATTAATTGTTTATTTAATTTCATTATTTAATATTTATTATTTTTTAAAAATAATTTTATTTTAAAAATAACATAAAATTTTTATTGATTTTAATTTATTTAATTTTAAAAAATAAAATAAAATAAAATTTTATTTAATCTAGAAAAAAAATTAAAATATTAAAGACATATTTAGTTTTATTATTACTTAGTAAACAATTGAAAACCGTAAAATAATCTATTGAGCATTTGTTATTTTTCATAATATTCTAATCAAATCTTGGATTTAATAGAATAGTCTTTTACAGACATCTAATTTGATGAGAAAACAAACTTGAGATATACATCATTTTCAACCAAATAGTCTAGCGACTCAGACATCTAATTTGATGAGAAAACAAACTTGAGATATACATCATTTTCAACCAAATAGTCTAGCGACTATATATCATATGATTAATAGTCCGATAGATTACAATCCCCACTTATCTAATCCCTTTAAACAAACATGACCTTAAGATAAATTTTATTTAGGTTTATATGCATTCTATCACAAAATGTGTAAATTTATCACAAAATTTCATAACATCAACCATAAAATGCATAATCTCATCACAAATTGATGTAACAAAATGTCTAAAATTTTGTGATTAATGTTGCAAAAATTTATAACTTAATTACGACATTTTTTATTATCCCAATTTATAACGAAATTACGTGTTTTGTATTTAATATTACAAAATTTTATAATAAAATTACACATTGGAAAATGCTAGAGGTTCCAAATTTTCTACCAAATAAATGACAAAATGTCTCACATGGGTGTGGGGCCCACAAAATTGCGGACCCCACACCCATGTGAGACATTTGGTCATTTATTTGGTAGAAAATTTAGTATCCCTAGCATTACCCAGGATCTTTTTTTAGCTTGTCGTT